TAGGAATAAGAAACAAGATGTCATTTGGTTGACACCAAATGAATTTTTCCATTGAGTCTAGGCTCATTTTTATTTTTCTATGAAATGTGGAGGATAGGAACCAATCCTATGTAGGAATAGGAATCCATTCCTATGAACCAAAGGGCTCTAAAGGAAAAAATCCTATAAGAATCCTATCCTCTAGAATTCCTATGAAATTCCTCCAAACCAAAGGAGGCCTTAGAGTATAGATTCACTCATTTTGCTTCGTATGTGGTCCATAGAACCTCTTCAAATACTTATATTTAGGAATGGAGAGAGTATATCTTTGAAAACTTTTTCCGAATATGAATTTAAAGTATCTGTCAGGCTCCCGTCATAGTCGCCCATGTTGATTAAATCATGATCAAAATTAAATCTCAAAAAACGTGGTCACATTGTATTATAAAATGAAGTAAGTATCATATACGCATCTCAGTTGGACTATAAGCTGGATAAGATGAGGATATGGGTACGTATTCTTGATGTGCCCATGAACTGGAGGACCGATGCAGTGGTGAAAGCATTATGTGTTAATCTGGGAAAGATCTTGCAAGCGGAGCTCAATGAGAAGGCTGGTAACTATGTTCGAGTCAGGGTGGAGATCCCGGTGTACCGACCGCTGGAAACTTCAGTAGCTATGTTTGCCAAGCTGCAGGGTACAAGAACTAAGATGAAGTTTGAGATTCAGTACGAGAAGCTGCCACATTTTTGTTATACATGTGGATATCTTGGACACAAAGAGAAGTCTTGTGGTAGGAAACGCAAAGGAGGTTTGCCAACTGGCAAATACAGTGGCAAGTTGCGCTGCTCACCACCACGTCGCTTTGGTCGGCAGTCCGGTACGGTGAGGGCGAAGACGAACCCGACGGTATTTCGGGGGCTTGATTTCTCGTCCGAGAGCACGGCATCATCGGCCCGTGGACGCGGCAGCAAGGGAGCGCGACGAACGGAAGGCGGCTCGGGTCGGCGTCAGCATCAGGCCGAGGAGCATAGCACTGGGAACCCTGCGGTGGACGAGCTACTGACTGCAAAAATGGAGGCTATGTCTGGGGGTAGCAAGGACGTGTTGAAGGAGCCACATGCCGCTACAGGGGGAGATGGTGCTAGCCACGGACTCGCCACATCGGGTGTTCAGAGCTCCAACCACTCTGAACCAAGGAGTTCTGACATGATACCAGCCATGCGCAATCTTTCACATGAAATCACCATGGCTAACACTGATCTCTCTGATGATGTATCAACCCTGGGCAAGCGTGCAGCCGTTGGAGACAATAGTACTGCTTTTGTACAGGAGGCGGGAGACCTTGCTTTGGTGCCATATGATAATAAGGCCACTTTGGCCGATCGTGTGCTTTCAGGTACCCCCAAAAAGCGCAGAACGTCGGGAACTCTGGAGGTGCAGCAGTCCCAGCATGAGGGCGAGGTGGCTGACCAGGAGATGGTGGACCGGACCAACAATTTGGAGGCTGTCGGCACAGGGGCCGCCGACGAACTGACGGGGCCGGCGGAGCCCCGTCAGGAGCAATGAATCTCCTCAGTTGGAACTGTCGAGGGGGTGGGAACTCTTGGACAGTTCGTGACCTTGTGAGTCTAGTGCAGGCTCACTCCCCGAGTATCGTTTTTCTTTGTGAGACTAGGCAGTCTAAGAATAAAATGAAACGTCTTCGTACTAGGTTAGGTTTGAGAGGTTTTGATGCTTTTGATTGTGTCGGTCGTAGTGGTGGTCTTACTTTGTATTGGCATGAGTCTTTGAGTCTTGATATAAAAGAAATAAATGAACGATATATTGATGCGTATGTAACTGGTACGGCGGGTGAGCCACCCTGGAGGCTTACCTGTGTCTACGGCGAGCCACGAACGGAGGACCGTCATCGCATGTGGTCTCTTCTCCGTGATCTTCACCAAAAGGCCAACATGCCGTGGGTCGTTGTGGGAGACTTTAACGAAGCGATGTGGAGTTTTGAGCACTTCTCCGACACACCGCGTTCAGCAGGTCAGATGCTTGATTTCAGATATGTTCTTGAGGTTTGTGGTTTGAGCGACCTTGGTTTTGCAGGTCTGCCCTATACTTTTGATAATCGTCGAGGGGGGCGAGCTAATGTAAAGGTCCGCCTCGACCGTGCTGTGGCCAACAACATGTGGAGAGATGTCTTCGCTCATGCCAGGGTGGAGCACCTGGTGGCGCCCAGCTCCGACCACTTGCCCATCTTGCTTCGATGCGCGCTCGAGGAGACGAGCTAGGCAACAGGCAGGAGATGCAGACAGTATGAGGTAATGTGGGAACGGGACCCATCCCTGCCCGAGGTAATTATGAACACATGGACTGAGTTGGGTGCTATGCTGAATCTTGGTGATATTGCTTCCGGTTTGGGTAACTTGATGAAAAAACTGCAAGACTGGAGCCGCAAAAATTTTGGTAATGTGATTAAGGAAATTAGCAAATCTCGCTCCCGCTTGGAGGAGCTTATGTCGATGAATGCAGATAGGAAGGACATACGGGAGGAGACCGACCGCATGAACGAGCTGCTATACAGAGAGGAGATGTTGTGGATGCAGCGGTCTCGTATTGCATGGCTGAGGGAAGGCGACCGCAACACTCAGTTTTTTCACCGGAAAGCGGTGTGGTGTGCACGGAAAAATCGCATTAAGACACTTATTGATGAGGCAGGGGTCACGTACAGGGACCATGGTTCCATGGCGGCTATGGCCACAGCCTACTTTTCTAAGCTTTTTACTGCTGATTCTTCTCTATGTGCGGATCCAGTTATAGATTTGATACAGACTCGTGTGACTGACAGTATGAATGATGGCCTGTGCGCAGATTTTTCAGACAAGGAAATAGCTGATGCTCTGTTCCAGATTGGACCACTCAAGGCGCCAGGGCCGGATGGATTCCCAGCCCGCTTCTTCCAGAGGAACTGGGCAGTTATGAGAGAACATGTTATGGCAGCAGTTCGGGAATTTTTTCGTACAGGGATCATGCTTGAGGGGGTGAATGACACTTCCATTGTTCTCATCCCGAAGGTGGATAACCCGGAGAGGCTAACTGACTTTCGTCCAATAAGCCTATGCAATGTCATATATAAGGTGGTGTCAAAGTGTTTGGTGAATCGACTGAGACCTATTTTGGATAATATTATCTATCCTAAACAAAGTGCCTTTGTCCCTGGAAGGATGATTACAGATAATGCACTAATTGCCTTTGAGTATTTCCACATTATTCAGCAGGAGAAGGACCCTAGCAAGAGCTTCTGTGCATATAAGCTGGATTTATCAAAAGCTTATGACAGGGTGGACTGGATCTTCTTGGAGTGAATGATGAAAAAGATGGGCTTCGCTCACCGGTGGGTGGACTGGTTTATGGCTTGCGTCACCTCGGTGAGATATACAGTGAAATTCAATGGAACCCTTTTGGAATCATTTGCACCGTCACGCGGGCTACGGCAAGGTGATCCTTTGTCCCCGTTTTTGTTCCTGTTTGTGGCTGATGGTCTATCTGCGTTGTTGAAAGATGGAGAGCAAAGAGGAGATTATACCCCGCTAAAAATATGCCGAAGAGCGCCGGGAGTGTCTCACTTATTATTCGCAGATGATACATTGCTCTTCTTCAAGGCAGAGGCAGACCAAGCTAAAAAGGTCCAACAAGTGCTAAATACATATGCAAAGGCCACTGGACAATATATTAATCCGTCTAAATGTAGTGCCCTGTTTGGCACTTTGTGTCCAGCCATGATGCAAGATGTGGTGAGAGATATTCTCCATATTGGTACTGTTACTTTTGAGGAAAAGTACCTAGGCCTTCCAACGCCCGAGGGTCGCATGTCGCGAGGTAAATTTCAGAATCTGCAGTCCCGGTTGTTGAAAAGGATTATTGCGTGGGGCGACACCCTCTCTCTGGCTGGCAAGGAGACTATGATCAAGGCAGTAGCTCAGGCCATCCCTACGTATATTATGAGCGTTTTCAAGTTACCTATGTCTGTCTGCGATGATCTGAACAGAATGGTCTAGAATTTTTGGTGGGGGCATCGGAAGGCAAGCGGAGAACACATTGGATATCATGGCCAAGTATACAAGCTCAGAAAAGCAAGGGTGGCTTGGGATTCAGAGATTTCCGCCTCTTCAACCAGGCGCTCCTAGCGAGACAGGCTTGGCGTTTGCTAACTAATCCCACCAGCTTGTGTGCGCAGGTTCTCAAGTCACGATACTATCACAACGGGCGCCTCGAAGATACGGTATTCTCAGGGAATGCATCTCCAACTTGGCAGGCGATTTAGCACGGCCTCGAGCTCTTGAAAAAGGGCATCATATGGCGCGTCGGGGGCGGGCGGGACATCCGCATTTGGCGAGACCGGCGGCTGCCTAGGGAGCCATCACGCCAACCCATATCCCTGCAGGGTACGTGCCGCCTAAGGAGGGTGGCGGAGCTCCTAGATGGCGAGGGGTCCTGGCGCATGGACCTGCTCCGCCGCTACTTCCTCCCTGCGGATGTCGACGTCATCACCAGTATCCGTACGTCGACTCGCGTCACCGAGGATATTATTGCATGGGCACCGGAGAGGAACTGTATCTTCACCGTTCGGTCCGCCTACCGCCTGGCCATGGACGAGCGCGAGCGTCCTTCGGCTTCAGCCACGAGCAGGGCATCGGATGGTCGTCGCGCCATCTGGAAGATCATATGGGGGTGCCCTGCTCCCCCTAAGGTACGCGTGTTCGCTTGGAGAGTCGTCACCAACTCACTTGCTACTTGGGCCAATAAAGCCTCGCGACACCTCGAGCTTACTGACATTTGCCCCTTGTGTGGTGTTGAACGCGAGGATGGATTCCATGCGCTTTGCAGGTGTCCCCTGGCAAGAGAGCTCTGGCGAGTTATGGCCTTGGACTAGAACATCCCCAAGGTGGAGGCCGTCGTCAACACTGGCCCAGAGTGGATCTTTTCACTGCTGGACCCCTTGGATGAGACGGCGAGACTGGTGGTGCTCATGACCATGTGGAGAGTATGGCATGTTCGGAATGAGATCACACACGACAAGGCGCCGCCCACTGCCGAAGCCTCTCGACGCTTTTTACACGGATACATCAACTCACTCTTGTGCATACAACAACATCCTGATGGTAACCTAGAGAAAGGGAAGATGGTGGTCCTGCCTTCACCACCACGCGCTCCAGAAAGTACGACGCCCAAGGTGCGAGCACACTGGGTACCGCCCCAGCCGGGCTGGGTTAAGTTGAACACGGATGGGAGCTACATAGCGGCCACAGGTGCGGCGGGAGGAGGTATGATCCTGCGTGATGACAGAGGCGAGATCATCTACAACGCATGTAGGGAGCTACGTACATGCGACAACGCTTTAGAGGCGGAGCTAGCAACGTGCAGAGAAGGCTTGGAGCTAGCCTTGCACCGATCTAACCTACCTATTCTGGTTGAGTTGGATAGCGCGGAGGCGGTGTCGATGATTACAGCACGCGAGATGGATAGATCATCACATCGTGCACTTATAGAGGAGATTCGTAGGTTGGCTGGAAGCGATGCTAGGGAGATCTCTTTTACTCTTTGTAGCCGTCTGCAGAACAGGATTAGTCATGAGCTGGCCGCCTATGGCCGTAGCACTCCGCGCACAGCAGTCTGGCTTACTGCCGGGATGGATTTTGTTGTAAACCTGGCTCTCGTTGAGAAGCCTCCTTGAATAGAATTCCTTTTTCCCCGCAAAAAAATATATATGCATCTCAGTTGTAGGGCGTAATACTTGTACGTGCGCACATGTAGGTGCGTAGAGCAATAATACAATATGAGTAGCTAGCTGATGCGCACAGTACTTACCGAGTCTAGATAAAAACAGCGGTACTGCGCACTGATTAACTGGGCCCCGTGATGTATTTTCGTCTATGGCTAAGGTACGTACGCCCATCCACATCCACATCCACCGATCCGCCGACCGATCATACATATGGATCATAGAGCACGAGTACGTAGCGCAAGTATTTTCTCCAGCATACATATGCAACAAGCCATCGACAATGAGAAAAGAAAACAATACTCCATCACGCGTCAAGTCGTTGTCCCATACGCGTTATTATCACGTACGTCCGTGAGGGCAGGGCTCCGCCGCCTCCTCCTCAAAAAAAAAAAGTTAGGGTTCGTGTCTTTTGCCGGCATCGGCGCAATTTCGCCTCGTCTCCGGTGGCCCTAGGATCCTGGCAAGGGCCGGCGAGAGGGCTCCGTTTTTAGTCTTTTTTTAATCTTGCTAGAGTTTGTGTCCTATTCAGGAAGGCGAGACGGCGGCCTCCCTGGAGATGGAATAAAGGTTATCCCGTCTAGCCCTCGTTCCGGCGATGCGTCTAGCATCGTTGGTGGACGTGTGGAGGTGTCTCTCCGGCAAATCTATTTTTGATAGATTTGTTCGGCTCTCGTCGTTGTCTGTCTATGTTCGCGTGTCTTCGGTTTGGATTCTTTCGATATACGTTATTTTTCATTGACGGTGGTTGCTGTTCTGGGATGCTGGTCTGTCTACGTTCGCGTGTCTTCGGTTTGGATCCTTTCGATATACGTTATTTTTCATCGGCGTTGGTTGCTGTTCTGGGGTGCTGGCATTAGCACGACGACTTACCGACTGTCTACTACAGCAAGTTGTGTCCGGCTCCAAGATAGAGGGGCGATGACGGCGGCGCGCCTTCGACTCGCTTCGGTGCTTGTAGTCGTCATTAGGTGCTCTACGGATCTGTATGTAATTTTTATTTCTGGTGTTTGTTATATTGTCATGATTGAAAATGAATAGATTGAAAGTTTTTTAAAAAAAATTAAAAAATACTTCATCGACAACTGGCTTCACCATCACGTACGATTAATGTACGTCGAGTCGTCGTAAACAGACAATTATAAATAAAACCGAAAAAAGTATGCTGGACGGCAGACGCTGCATGTACGATCGCCATGCCATGCGTTCAGTCAAAGCGTGGCGCCGTAGATAGGTATTATACGAGTCGCAACTCGCAAATCATGCAGTACTGGATGGAGACTAGTAGTACGTGACAGGGAGGGTGGCGTGGTATGGGCATCAACGGGTGGGTCCTGCTCCCTTTCCCCGGCCGATCGTCTTTCTGTTGGGGGTTGGGGCAAGGGATACGATACGATACGCGGCGGGGAGCGAAGAAATAGGCGTCGTTGCCTTTCCCGGGGCCGGCCGGTCCGGCTCTATCCGGCGCCGGAAAAGGGAAGCATCGACGATTTCTCACTTCTCGCCCGCCCAGCAGCATCGACCTAGTACGCAGATGCGTCCCATGGATGCCCCCGATGCTATGCGGCCTTCCCAGAGCCGGACGCGCGTGTCGAACGGTTTGAGGCGCGGCCGGCCGGCCGGGCAACGTACGTACGCCACTGCTTTTTTTTACTGAAAAACTGTAAGGAAATCCCTTATATAATATAATTGATGCAACAAAGCCAAATTATAAGTACCAGACCCTGTTTTTGGCTCGCTTCCGAAGAGCTAGTCAAAATTTCTGACCATCGGTGCGTGTCGCTGTGTTGTATCGTGGTATGGGAGAGTGCTGTCTACTTGCTCGGAGGCCTAGCAAAACTTTTTATTCTGAAATTGTGATGATCAAAACGGAGAGTTCAAGGGTAGAGGTAGTCCCGGAATCACAAAAACAGAATTCGGTAAAGAGAAAACAAACATGTCATATGGGCTCATATTTTCCAAAGAAAAATGGCTTTTGTTTCATTGTGCAATATTGCCATTTGGTATAAATATTTCATCCAGCTGTGCGATGTTAATGATCGGTCTTCAGCTTTTCAAGTTAAGACATAGTGCGAAATTCTGATAAGTCAAGGCTGAGCATGGGTTCATCTGCACCCTCTGAATAGTAAGTGCAAAAGAATAGTAAAAAGACAAAAAAAAAATCTAAACTTCTTTTTGCATAGAAGATGCTCAAGTGCGTTAGGAGCGTAAGAAACATCAGGGTTAATTGACATCGGAGGAGCCCTGCACACAGAAAAAAGCAGCTCCAACAGTGCATTCTTTCAGTCTTTATCTCACATGCCAGAATTTGGTTATTATTGCCACAACCTCCTCAAATGTTCAAACATCACCAAATTTTGTGCACACATTGTGTATTTACCGATTTAACTATTGACGAGCGGGAGCATGTGAGCCCGGGCTCGGAATCGGTAAGTCATACGGAATTCATTGTATGTAACATCATCGGTGTTGTCTGTCTATAGACATGACATCTCAACAAAAACGATGGTGCCACTGGTTATCCAATGAATGCGTTGGGCACCTAGGGGCCTAGGGTTCCTCCGTCTGGGTTTATTAGTCCTCTTCGTATTTTGTATCAAACTTTGCCCTTAGATTAACTAATAAAATATTGATGTATGTTATAAAAAATGATATTGAAAACTATGTTCAAATACGAATCCAACGATATAATTTTTTTGACATGCACTAACATTTTGTTAGTTAAATCTATAGTTAAAATTTAGCACCAAATACGAATGAGAACTAATAAACCATGACGGAGGTAGTAGTTGTTATCCGTTGCATGTGTCTTACTCGACGTAGAAAACCTCGACACGTTTCATCCCGCCGTTTAGCTCATGTAACCACAATTTATGCATATTTTTCCCTTTCCCCAAAGGCACCCAAAAATTATCATGCAATTGTGATGGCTCGTGTCCATTGTCAACCCGTCATCATGACATTTAGCTACTCCATATATAACTGTGGGCACGCAACAAAATTTTAGATAGCCGAAGGGTGTATCTACTCAGAGGCCACGCCAATCATCCCAACACGTCATCGCAAGGCATTAATCAGGTCCGTAATAGTAGCAAAATCTCACAGTGAACCAAGGCTAAATCGAATTATAGGGGACCTGGCAATTGGCATGGCATGGAGCTAGTCTCGTGGGAGGGAGCGCCGATTAGTCAGACTAATCAAGAGATTCGGCAGGATCGGACGGCGGCCGGCCGAGCAACGAGGGGGCGGCCGGCGCTTTATGATTGGCAAGGCGGACCGCAGTGGGTGTGGGGCTCCCGCGCTAGCCGTTGCTCTGTTGCGTGCTGGCATCTTCGTCCTCCAAGCTGATTGTGGACCGATCTTCGCCAATAACAACGAGTGGTGAAAGGCTACTGGTTAGGCCATCTTCAATAGTTTGTATATTAGTTTGTTGATAAAATATGTCATGTCATCAACCAATATCTTAACATACAACAACTTTAATGTGTTGTATCTAGTTTGCCCAATAGAACGTGAGATAACAAATGAGGTGCTCTCTCATTCTACATTGGAGTTTGTGCAATGAGTGTTGGTTCATATACATACAACCTTCCTCTCTTTCCTCATTTATTGTATGACACATCATCAAAAATCCTATGTGACAAAATCTACCAATAGCTATCTTACAATCATTGGAGATGCCCTTAGGCTGGTCACAATGGGCAAGAACATAAGCTAGTAACTTACACACTTCCCTAGACTATGCTACTACCTTCATAGTGGGTAGGAACATCTATGTAGTGTCATGCAACGATGTATTTATTAGGTTATAGACTCATTGTTTCTTGGAGTGTGTGATGTTCCGGTAACTTAGCTAGTTACCACAAGCATCTCTTTTTTCATTAAATATGTGCCACATAAGCAAAGTTGTATTGAAGTGTGTGATGTTACTCCTAAGTTCCTCTCCATTGTGACCAGCCTTAGTAGGAGTATATCTTATTTTGTGGTTTGTCTTTCCTTTTCCATGGCTGCTAAAAATACTTTTATGTGGACAGCGACGTGAAATACTCCTAACTACTAGCCTAGTCTCACAAAAAATAATATGGATAATAGTCTAGGTTAGGAGCACTACTGCGTGGTTGATATTAGTACATTATTGTAACTAGCGCGTTGTAGGAGTATAAATATAGAATAACTCACGGAAATAAATAAAGCAGAAGACTTCCTTTAAAAATGAGTGTACCGCGTACGTGCGCACATGTAGGCGTGTAGATCAATATGGCTGCCTAGCTAATCTCAAAAGAAAAAAAAATATGGCTGCCTAGCTTTTTTTTTGAGCAACAATATGGCTGCCTAGCTAGCTGATGCGTACAGCCCTCTCCAGCTGAAAAACAGTATTACTGACGTACGTAACGCTAGCTATTTTTTTTCCAGTTTATTATATTCGAGCCAACAATATACTGTGTCGCAGTCCATCGATCACTCCCCCGGTAGTACGTGACGGAAGCGAGTCGCGACTCGCGATTAATGCACGTCAAGTCGTCGTAAATAAACATTAAAAGCGAAAAAAATCGGTTGGAAGGCATAGGCAGAAGCTGCATGCAATGTTCAGTTAAACTGTGGCACCGTTCGGCGATACAGGTATGGCGTGGTGAGGTGGCCCCGCTCCTTTCCCCGACCCGGTCGTCCTACTGTTTAGGACTTGGGATAGATATATGTGGTTGCCTTTCCCGAGGGCTTGTTCGGCTCGATCCGGCCCTCCACCGTCCAACAGAAATTGAAGCATCGCTTCTCAATACTCGCCCAACAAGCAACATCTACTCCCACGCGATGCGAGTGGGCTGGGCTACAGACGGATCAACTGGCGCGCAACCTGGATGCGTACCCGAGATACTCCGACGCGATGCGGCCTTCCGGGGGCCGGACGGGTCGAATGGTTCGCTGTGTCCGTGTCCTTTAGAGACGCTGCTGGC